GTGTGTGTGTGACAGATAAGAGGGGCGGTGGGGGACAGAGTGGGAAGGAGGGCAGGAGGGCAGTGGAGGCAAGAAGAGAGTGGGTGTGGGGGACAGGGCAGAGAGAGACAGGCAGGGACAGACAGACTGGCTGATGGTCAGGCAGAGACAGTGACCCAGAGACAGACAGACAGACAGATGAATAGACAGGGGCAGTGTGGGACCGAGACTGACAGACATGCTGCCAGGTAGGGACAGGGACACCGAGCGAGATACAGACCACGAACAGAGAGCGAGGGGCAGTGACAGGCAGACAGGCAGGAATAGCCCTGGGCAGCGCGGGGCAGTGATCACAGAGAGACAGACAGACAGACACCGTGAGGGGGGGTAGCAGGGAACCAGGACAGGAGACGTGGGCAGAGGCCGAGAGGGCAGGGCTAGTATCGGACTGATGGGCTTAGACTGGTCTGGGTTGGGATGCTTTCTTAATGTACAATTACCCTTTATATAAAACCCTCTCCTATACATAGGTGCGTGGCTATGAATTCGTTTCTCTAGCTTACCCAGACTAACACATGGAGCCTCCAAGAACCGGGTGCAACCTGGACTGTCTCCCCGGCATAGGTTTGTGATGACCTGCTGGGGAGTCAGTTCTGACTCACAGTGGCCCTCTGCACAACGGAACAAAGCACCACGCAGTCCTGCACCATCCTCACAATTGTTCCTATGCTTGAGCCCATTGTTGCAGCCATGGTGCCAGTCCATTTCCTTCAGGGCTTTCCTCTTTTTTTTTTTTTTTTTTAAACCAAGCATGACGTCCTTCTCCAGGGACTCACCTCTCCTGACAGACACGTCCAAAGGAGTTGAAATGAAGCCTCATGATCCACTCTGCTGAGGAGTGTGCTTATTCTGGCTGTCCTTCTATTAGTCGCCTCCCTGCGTCCCTGCTTTGCTCTTCCACGTACCTGTCACTGCCAGGAACCGTTCTATGCTTACACATTTATTATTTTTACTCAACTGTTCTCTCAGCCTCCTTCTCCGCCCCCGTGTGACAGCCAGGAGCTCCCCTGAGACGATGTCTTTTATCCCCTGCCCTTCTAGCCCCAGAACACTGCCGGGCACCTAGTAGGTGCTCGATAAAATTGTTGATGCCTACAAATCCCTTTTCTCTTCATTGTGTGAAGACTGCAGTTGTAAAGCTTGTCTGGGTTGAGGATTAAGAGTGTAGGGGTGACTCGCCACTGCAGCCCCTTGTTGGTGTGTGCTACTCTCCAGCCCACTCGTTTGCCCGTCCATCCGCTCCCCACAGTCACCCCTAACCTTCATAATGGCCAATCGGG